ATGGACGCCAATGATTGCGTGGTTTGTACCGATGGAAAGTCGAAATTATTTTCATCATGCAGAGTTATTCCTTTTTGCTTTTCGTGAAGTCCATTATGATCATAATGTCTAGTTTGTATCTCTTTGGAGATTTTTCTATAGGATTGGTATTATAATCCCAGGTATGCTTGTCTGTTCTTGGAAGTAGTAATTTTACCAATGAGTCAATAACAATTGCTATATATTTTAAAGTCAAGTTGCAAAATTAATTTAGTGGTATATTTTAAAGTACAATTTTTCTCGCTTTTTAATTTTGCTAAATATTCTCCCTCTAGTAACAAGTTAATAATAGACCGTCTTAATCACATAATAGAATCCTATCGATATATAATTATTATTTGTTAAATCCAAATTATTAATTAAATATAAATTTAAGTTTTTTTCAAAAATTGTTCTAACATAAATATGGTTACGAATGTGTATATTTCATTTTCTAATTGTTATTTTTAATGTCATTTTTAGGTATTGGACATCCCGCCATTCGAGAATATTATTAATTGTTAATTTATATGTATATATACTTTTCTATGATAAAATACATGCATTCTATGAAATTATATATTTAAGAAATTTTGATCTTTGTCAACTTAAATAATTTTTATCAAATACTTCATATTCTTTTAACAATATTATCCTCATTACATGAATTTAATTAAAAATGTGTGGGTACAAAAAATTCGAGGATAAGAGATAAGTCGAATGGGTACCCTTGTATTAGCGGAATATTAATAATTAAAATTTTTGAAAAATACAAAAAATAGGAATTGTTAAATTTTATATAATAAATTTTTCAGTATAAAATATTCTTTAAAATTCCGTTATTATCGGGTTCGGCTTATTTTGAAACAGTTGGTATTCGAGAAATTTTTGTATCCATACATAAAAAATTACAATGACGCATGTATTTTATTATTATTAAATATATTCCTTCGTAACCACTATTCCATAAGGAAAGCATTTTTCTGTTTATTTGTACTAAGAGACGAGTTTTAGGGATGGCAGAACATATTTTCAAATTGCAATATTATATTAAAGATGCGATAAAAATAGTAATTGTTATTGACATGTTGTTACTATCCTAAGTGGTCTGGAAAATTCGGAATTTCACTCCCCTGTAATAAGATCCTCTTTGACAGATTGAAGAAATAACTTTTCTTTGTGAATGAATCTTGTGAATTTACTATAGAATCGGAATACATGAGTTCACTCTCCATTATGGAGATTGTTCTTCTTTGTATCGGATATTAATCGTACACAGAGCGGTGGAATCTTAATATGATTAATTTATTGGGATAGTTGAACGCGATGAAAGTGCTGTTGCATATATTAATGATTTATCGCAATATTAATAAGTTACAAGTTTATTAAACATTGGTTTAGAAAAATTTGTGTTATCGTATGTATTTTCGACGTTTTCGTGTAATCTCGCATTATTAAAATTTGTTAATTATGCTCCTATAATCATTTTTATTATATTTTGAACAGCATTTTTATTGTATATTGTATTGTAAACAATTATTACGATTATAATATTGAATTGTATAAGGATTATAATAAAAGATAATATTAAAAAAGTTATTGCAATATAATTAACGAAATACAATAAAATAAATGTAAAAATAAAAAATAAATTAAAAATATACTGACCTGCAAAAACGAGTTACTAAATTTATTAGTAGCTCATTTTTTTACAAAGTAAGCTTACAAAGAAAAGAGGACCGCCGATAAAATCGGCGGGTGGTGGAGAACTTCTAAAATCTAATAATAAATTTTTCATTGGCAAAATTGGTGGGCATTCAGTGCCTATTACAGCCGTTATATGTAAATCCATAATATGGAAACAAATTAAATTCGCAAAATTCTTAATACATTTTATTGTGCTTTTGATAAATTATACATTAGGCGTTTTATCAATTGATATCTCACTTTTACATTCGGATTATATTAGTGTATAGGAAAGAGATATAAGAGTAAATAAAATTCAAAATTAAAATATGTCAAATTAGATAGAAATGGGGCTCACACGCGGTAAGTAAGAAAAAAATATTAAATCTTAAGAAAACTCTTGAAACATAATTGTGTGAACGTAAGAGAATATGAGACCTTCAAAACAGAAACACTATTATAATAACGACAATAAATAGGCGTCTAGCACTATATGCTACTTGTTTCCTTGAATTTCGATACTTGTTATTGATTCACAAAACTTCTATCAGAACTACATTCCTTACATATTAAGCTTTTACACTAGTCAAGTGTTAGAATATAAAGGTATAAAAATATATTTTAAAATTGGGAAAAATAGAGAGAGTGGAATGGAGAGTGTTCTCTGATTGATTCCGTCATTTATTGTGCACTTGTGCATTCGCAAGTGTGCATATGTGCATACTACTGGAGGAGGAATGGCCTATCCAAGTAATGAGTGGAAAGTGGGAGCAAGATCTGAGAGACAGAAGATGTATTTTTTTATATATTTCTATCCTGCTCACTATCAGTAACTTTTTTTCTTTCTGCGCATGTGTCAAAAGAGAATAGAAGAAGATAGAAAGATATTTCTGTTTTTTAGATCTTGCTCATTTTGACGTCTGTATTTCCCCTCCAGTAGTATAATCTCTATAATGTACATATATATACACATACACAATACCAGCGCGGTACAATACTAGTGTTTGCAGCACCATATGTTCCATCATGCTTCTGTATATATCTTCTACTCATATCTTCTTCTCATTTCAATGAACGGCAGCATTCGACTGAATTCACTCCGCTCTGTCTTGATTCTCTCTGAATAGTTCATATGCTATTTTCCCTAATATTTAGTATTAAATATATGTGTCAAAAATAATCTTATAATGCAATTTGTAAGCATACATTGTCATGTTAAAGATTATTAATTTACGAATATTCCTTGCGCATACATTTCTGCAATCGTTGACAACTGCACATTGTTTGTACCTCTGTAAATCATACCGATTATGGAATTCTTAAAATATTTCTCTCGAGAAAAATCAGTTGTAAATCCAAAATAGTCCATAAAGTATATGCATGTAGAGGTGACCCAAAAGTAAGTTTCTATAAATCTTTATATATA